CAACAAAATCTGACATTTTTATCTAGACTATATTATGTAAAGCAATGAGCTAGGGGACCAGGTTCATGTTACAGCTGTTGACAGCTAATGTTTTTTGGTAAGTCATGCAACAGCAGCAGAGTGCCACTTTCCCATTCCTACCGTGCTGCTGAGCCACTGCTGCAAGGGTGACAATGTGTAACAATGGAGGTTGGAAAGATAAAATTGAAGTTGACATGAAAACCGTGTGACAAAGAAGCCCTACAACTGAGATATCCATAGCTGAAGAATCTGAGAAAGTTGTTCAGCACTTGGCTGATACCCAAAGAGAATTATGTTATTCTTTTCATTGAAGAAGGTTGGTGAACACTCCTCAATAAATTCCAATGGCAGGCCTGTAATGAAGTGGAGGTGATGCAAGTTGGCATGGTTTTAAAATTCACTGTATGCTCTAGTTCAGTTAAGATGTATTTCTGTTGCTTTATGCTTTTTGCATCTTTGATCTGTAAGAGTAATAAATAGGGCGTGATCTCTTGCACTTATCATTGCAGTGTCAAATGCACTAAACTGTTGTGGCCTGAATACCTGTAATAATATACCTGAATACCTGCAATTAGAAATGCAAAGGTTGTTCTTGTTGGGCAGTCCAAAATCAAGCAATGCTGCTGACTTTATAGGGAGTTCAACAAGCTTTGCAGCCAGCCAAGAAACATGCAACAAAGTGAAACATTTTCAAGATTCCTCATGTCCAATGCTATTTACAGCTTTTCTAGAGCATCCCTTCACTTAAAAACATATGGGAACCCATGTCTGAGCGCAGAAGTTACATGCTCATTTTGACCTAGCCAACTTAACATGGCTATATTTCCTACTACCTGGAGCTCCTGAAAGCTCTTTGTTAAGCGTAACGCATTACAATAATCCAATTTAGACATGACAAAAATTGCTGTTCTTCTGCCAAGGCATCTGCTGAACTGAAGACTGTTACTCCCAAAGTGTAAGGGTCACAACCTTCAGTGGGGCTGCAAGCCTAACAGTAGTGTTATTATTTATGCTAGTGTAATGAGGCCGTTGAAAATGGGACTTATTGCCAGAAACAAGCTGAGGAGATTTTTATGGGTCTGACTGGACTATTCCAAGCAGGAGCACTTGCTTTCCAAATTCTGTCCTTTCTCCAGCCCCTGTTTTGGACCTTGGAGAAGCTTTTTTGGGAGGGTGAGAAAAGTAATATTTCCAAATGTATTCTATTTATCTCAGTCTCTGAATCTGCTACACTTTAGTTCAGATTAATATTTTCTTCATCTCCTGTAATAAATATGGGAAGTATTAGAAAAAAATCTGTAGGCTCCTAATTGGCTTCCAATGATTCATTCAAACAGCACATTTATAAAATAGGAGGGGAAAAAAAAAGGGGAGGGCAGACAGAACAAGAGAGGAGGGTCTTTAGGACATACACTGACTATTTTACCCAGTGGCTAGGATGTTTTTGTGCTACATAATTAATACTATTTGGTGGTAAAGAACTCTGTGTTGAAGTAAATTCCTTAGCCTGCTTCCTACCTTCTAGTGCTAGAATGCTTAGTACTAAGTTTAACAATGTTGTTCCGCCTTGGATTCTGAACAGTGGGTTAGAGGAATCTTATTTGCAGATAAGCAATGGGCACTTAGAAGTTAGCAAGTTGAATAGTGTTGGAGTTCAGATGTTCCTTTATGCAAAGAGGGAGTCAAATTGTCCATTGTAATGGTAGAGATTGTGTGGTAAATTATAAAATTAAATGGTGGTCCTGGAATGCAGAGACATCACCTTTGACTGCGACTGCAGATTCAGTGAGCTCTCTGTGATGTACATGTAATTAAACCTGTACGTTGTCTCAAACTTCAAAGCAATTTATAATAAGCAAACTTCAGCATAATAGAAGTAAGTATTACCCCACTTTTTTTAGACTACCTCTTAGCAATCTTTTACCATACGCTGGGTTCTTAATCACTGTCAACTCACTATACTTTCCTTTTCAGTGAAGAACAGTGATGTTATGCAATGTTACTATATAGATCATGCCCTGTTTTTTCTAGTCCTATTTTGAGAAAATACATCTGAGTAAAACTACATTTTTGGTGATGCTAAATCTTCCCTCAGCAGTTAACGTTTCATCTGTATTTATGTGACATGACTTTACACTGTGTGGTTTTGGCAGATGGAGGAATGATTTTCTTCACATTTTTCATACGGTGAAGAATTTTCAGGAGCTAGTTTAGCAACAGCAAGCAGAGGAGGCTTTGATTTGTTTACCTAACATATGTGTCACATATAAAAGGCAATGTCCTTCCACTGTAGTTGTTAATAACTAGCTGTTCCAAATGGATTTGTGCCAACACGGAATCTACCACCACAATTAGCAGTAATAGGAACTTCAGCTGGCAACAGCAGTGAAGGCAGTAAAGATTAAATGACTGTGTGAACTGTCCCTCCAAATTAAAACTGATGTACATTGGCAAAAAATAAGAAAACTCACGCCACTGTTACCCCTTGCACTCTGTTCTACTCGAGAGAAAATACTGCTGTCTGGGACTTGCTGTTTTTCACATGACATAGATTCACCCCATTAATGACAAGAATCTTGAGTATCCATATCAATAAAACATCTCAGATTACAAAAACCTATAGATGACTTTAAAATGCTTGAGGATACAAATAACCTTATGAAGAAGGTTGTTTCTTAGAGGCATTTACCAGTTAGGTGCCTGTTACTGACTTCTAGCTGTTATTGCACATGTACTTCCAAAAAGTCTGCTTGGAAATTCCATTAAATGACATCCAAGAAATTATTTTTTTTTCTGGGTAGGAAATCTTCCAGGAGCTACACAATCTCTGCAAAATAGTATTCATGGTAATAATTCTATAGCATAGAATATGATCTTGTTCTAGAGCAGGTTATTGTCAAAGCTGCAATAACAAGCCCTCCTGCTTTTCAGGAACTGTGGCTGAATTATGCTAATCCCTGTACAAACACATTAATTAAAAAATGAGTATAACGAGGATTTGAATAAGTATTTTATTGTACAATATTAACTGATATAATACATTATAGGTTAGTCCAAGTTTCTTTAGAGTGATTCACAGTTTATTGTCTCACAGTGTCCTATATGACGTACTTCAAAAATACATATTATTTTCCACAGTTTCCATGAACCTCTAGCTATGTGCTAGAGCACCTCAGAAATATTTTAGGCTTAAGAGTTGTCTAAACCTAACCTTTGCATTTGTGAACACTGTGAAACATCTGATTTGCAGGTCAGTGTGCAAAAAGCACAGCTAATAACCATGACCTTGAAGAGGCTTTGCAGCTGCAGTTATATTGCAGCATTGAGCGACACAACTTTGTAACATTTTGCACTTTGTGAAATGCCATTATCTGAAACTCTGGGTTTGCATCCTGTTCCTTATATTTATTATGGACAGAATTAAATCTTGCAAGTCAATCAAACATGTCAGTCTTCTGGTGGCTCTGAAAGCACAGAGCAACCAAAAGACAGGAGCTTTGCAAACATACAGGGAGCACCATGTAGTTTTGTCAGTAACTTTAGCATGTGCATGAATAGGTGTGTGCCAGATTTATCCACATGAATTTGGACACTTGCTGTATAGTTTTCAGGACTAGTGCAATTGCTTTGGTGTTGACAGTTAAAAGCTTACATGTAAATAGATGCCTGGTGCCATACTCTGACAGTGGTTAGATGTTCCAGTGATAGTAGTTTCCTCTTCCAGTGCCAGGAAGCAAGGCTAGTGAAAAAAAGCCAAATCCAATCACAATGTATCATCAGGTAAATGTAAGTTTTGGCAGCGGGGCAGAATTATTCACTTTAGATGTCACTCAGAACACAAACACCTCTCTTCATAAGAAATGTGATCTGTTAAGAGCAACACGTGCTAAACTGTGCATCTAACCAGTTAGGTCCACTAGCAGCACATCTATAGAGCATTACCTCCACAAATCAGATGCGATTTCCCCAGTACTAACTGTCCTTGATGAGTGCCCAAGCATGGGGCTAACCCAGTGGAGAGTTGTTTGTTCAAGCTCAGGGAAGCTCAGTGTAAGGTGTAACAGCTGATGCAGTTTGCCTGCTGTATGGGAAAGGTCAGCCCCTATAAAATCATGGACAAACAGAGCTCCCAGGCAGCTGGAACAGCCTCTCTAAAGAACTGGACTCAAGTCAGGGACAGTAGAAAGAGATAAAAGAGCATATGTTTTGCTGTTTTTGAGAAGTGAGTTTATGGATGAATTGAAAAGAATGTATCCTATGAAGAATTTAATAAGCAAATGCAGTAAGTCCAAGTTTTTCACTGAGACATTGATTGCTTTTTAACTTCATTAATAGCAAATAGGGAAAAAATAATGGAAAAACATTAATTATAACACAGTAAGATGAACATTAAAACTTTAATGGCACTGAAGGCCACCATACACCGTAACTGAAGCCTACAGTTCTTTAAAATAGCCTCACCTGCCTGCTTTAACTTCTTGAAACCACTGGAAGGTGGCTATAGGCTTGTGAGTAAATAAAAAATTATACTGCACCCAGAAAAGAAAGAAAGAAACAAACAAATCCAAACCCTTGCATTTGCTTATTGGCTGTAACACAAGACCTTCAAGCCAGGAGAGGACTTAAAAAGTAGAACACTGCAGGCTTCAATTTACCAGTATAAACACAAGACATCTAACTAAAGGCATTAGATAGAGGCCTGTTCCTGCAAGAACCATGTTGAAGATGAACAATAATATGAAGGGTCAAGGCCTCTCTTCCCAAGATGAACTGTTGAAGTAGAATGTTCATAGAAGAAGTGTTTATTTCTTAAAGAAACCAACTATTAAAGAAAGTGACACAGGATATTCCTCGTTCATCTTGTTCCAGAACTTTCTCACATGTAAATCTGCATAGTCTGTGTATTATGTTTTGTACAGTGAAAAAGGTCGCTATAAAAATACTGCGCCCTTTTTTATCCATACTATGAGAAAAAACAGTTTATTATAACAGGAAATAATACTTTATTATAAAATCTGCATGTAAACAAGTAACAAATTAATTGAATAATGGGTAATGGAAGTGCAAATTAACTTCATAAAATGATAGCTGTTCTGTATTAACTATATACATATAATGTTTTTGCCCATTCTAAAGTGTTTCTACTCCCCTCTCCCCACATTTAAATTTTAAAAGATTTATCATTGCTTGCTTTATACTAAAGAGTGTACGAGCCTGCGTACAAGTTTAAGTTTTGCTCTGCAAACAGGACAAGTCTGTGGTGATACTTATCATAATCCTTCCTTATCTTTGCATCTCTAGTATCCACAGTACAAGAGGATATATATAACATATGTACACAGTGAAAATATGGGCATGTCAAGCCACTTATTTAAAGTTAGTTCATTTACTTGCACACATTGAAACTTAAACCATCTATCAATGATGCAGACGTGTAGTGTAACCTCCAGACTTGCTTGCGCACCTTAAGGCATTAACGAGAGTCTCAATTGGTAAGTCATTCTTGTTATCACCATGAGGATCATCTATACACTTCTCGTAACAGTCAAATGCTTGTTCATCACGCATGTGCAACATGTGGCCTTGCTGAAAGCTTCTAAAGCACAGATAAGTCATGGCAAGACTTTGATTTTGCTTTGAAAGCCATCTTCTTATTGTTCTTTGCCACAATTCTCCCAAGGAATCGCTTTGCCTTTTTGCCTATGCTTTCTCTTCTTTTTGTGTTGGCCATTCTCCTAGCATTGTCTTCTTTACTGTCTTTGCGAAGTCTAATTTGCCGAACAATACCTTCAAACAGGTCCTTAACATTATGATGAAGAGCAGCTGAGGTCTCGATGAATTTGCAATCAAACACAACGGCACAGGCCCGTCCCTCTGGATGGAAAGAGAAAAAGGGAGATGAATTGGAGACGAACATTTTCTCTTCATATATACTGGCAGAAAAAACAAAACAAAAGTTTACTTTAGGTAAGGAAAGTGCCTTAAATGCCACAAAAGAGCTTTACTACATGGTAGGGAAGTCCAAATTTGCACTCATGGTTTTACCCCTTTTCTTGGTTTTGTTGTGGTATGGTCAGAAATCGCATTTGACCGATGGTACTGAATATAAGGCAAAAATAGTCCTGTAGGCAGACCATCCCCGTATTGCTTAGGATCTAAGGCTGGTACAGGAGAGGCACTTAGACACATGCTTGCTGTTTGATAGGAAACAGCGTGAGGTACAGAAAGAAATGGTTTTTATTTCTTCTGGAAGTTGCTGAGCAATTATGCACTTCTATCCTGCTGTAACAAGTGAGAGTTTTCCACGCTACCTACAAATGAAGCTGATACAGTCCACAAGGGCAAGTCACTGAACAGATCACTGGAGGTCATGAAGTTGTTACACCATTGGATTTGACTAGGACTGTATTCAAAATGCAAGACGCTTAATGTTCAAGATGTAAGCACGTAACTCCAGAACATTGCTGCAGAGCAAATTTCCATGTTCAACTTGTGGTAAATACTGGCAAAGTTGTAAACATGAGCAAAGTACTGATGTCATGACTAGGACAGGTCAACCATGCACTGCCACCAGC